ATAGAACACGAAATATTTCACAGTGTCATGCACTATGATTAAACGTGTTTGTCTTATCCACCTATGAATATTTTGTAATGGATCGCTGACTGGTTAGGAAGCGTGAAATAAGAATTTGAGGATACGGTGTATCGGTTTTGGAATATAACGCTTATTTATATGGCACAAGGGTTCTTCGAAATTATGAACTTATGTCCATAATATGGACTATATATCTAGAATTTGTTGGGTTATTATAGACTTAATATGATATTATTAAACAATATATGCGATACTTATTAGTAATTATTAATTATTTAATCAGTAATCATATGCAATTCAAGTAATATTATAAATCGCTGGATTTTATCGATTAATATAACTCTTGAAACGTTAACAAAATTGAGTTGAATTTTCATCTGCATATAGGAACATTTGTGTGGGACATTATGGTTCAATTTTTAGCGAATTCACCGTCTCTCTCTCTCTCTCTATTTCCCCTTTCTCGATTTATTTAGTTCGGTATATTAAAATATTTATTTCAATTATTTCGGCTACGTTACACGTTTGAAAAAATGCGAGTGTAACTAAATAAAAAGATCATTCTGCTTTTAAAGGAATACAAATGAAATTGTTACTAAAAATATCTCAAGAATGTATCAAAGATAAATCGGACCAGTGTTGTTAAATATTTACATCAATTTAACTAAGAAATATAAAAGATTTAATTTCATTCGATGAAAAAATTGTTGCGTATTCAAAATCAATATTGCAGAATTTTGTTTATTGTTATTTTTGTTGTCATTAATATCTATATAGCATAACATACGAATATTAGTCGATTTGTTGTCATCCAAAGAAATGCCACACCTTCGAATGAAGATCATGTTTAGGTTTATACGTATCATAATTCTAAGAACACACAATTTCACAAGTTCTTTATTAAGAGCACTTTGTGGTGTATATAGAAAAAATGTTTTCTTTTTCGTTAATTGTACGTATCTACTAGAAACAATATATGTATTTACTAGTTTGAAGTTCTGTTGATGGCTAGGAACTGTAGCCAACTTCAAATAAGTAAATATGAATAATTATATAGATATTAATAATATTATGTCAGGAGATGGAAATAAGTGAGTAATTAGACATACTGTTTCGTGTCGCAGGTGAGATGCCAGGGAGAGCCGAGCACGCAGTGCGTACCTAAGAGAGACTTTGTGGCTCTCTCACGTCTCCCGGAAGTCAGATTCTACTTATCAGCTTATTCAAGAACGGCGAGAATGATTCATAGCAGAAACCGAAACGACATTACGTACTTATTGGCTTTGATCGATCAAGTTGACGACGATACGGAAATCTGCATACCTACTAGGCTTTACATAGAGCTGTTTAGAGATCCAATTATGCGCGGAGACTTTCTCGGACGAATGAAGAAACTACCAGACATATCGGGACGTTTCATGGACGACAGCGAAGAAATCGACACAGGCGTACCGCTACCGAGCTCTCAAAAAAGAAGCATCGCGATGCTAGCCAAAAACGATGATTTGCCGATCTCCTTGCAAGACCGCCTCGGGGAAAACCAAGACGATGAAGAAAAGAGAACTATGGTTTCCAGGTAATTAACTTTCGCTGGCTATTATCTTGACTCTTGTGTGTTCCTCGTTGTTCACTCATATTCCGTTTCTAGGTTTCTTTCTATTTGTATCGTAAGATCTGAAAAGTCGAGCTTTAACCCTCATCCAGCCCTCATTTTTCCAACTTAACGCGTTCCTCGTTTGTCAAATTGACACTATCGTAAAATATCAATACACATAAGAGGCAAACAATTCCTTTTACTAAATATTTTTTCGAAAATAAAGAAGAACATATCTACGCAATGTTCTTTTCATATTTTTCATATAGAATGAAACGATGAAACGATCGCGTCGCGACGTAATGTCTCTATTTGACTATAGTTCAGAATTATAATAAAGCAACTTTGCTGTTGCTTATCGTTCGACAAGATATATCTTTTGTTTGTGAAATTCATATGTGTTGAATTAATTGAGATATGTTTTCTCATTGATAATAATAGATACAAATATACTTCATGTTTAAGAAATAAAATTCATAAAGTCTGAGATATCAATTTTCTTAAAAATTAGCAGAATAATACTCTGACACTTGAAAATAGTCAAATTGACACCATGAACGGATGACGGTTAAATGAAACATAGTTATTGTATAATTATATATATTATATATTATTGTATAATTATTCGTAAGGAACGTGTAAGAATTAAATATTTTGTGAATGCATACCATTAATTCTATAAGTATACTCGTGCAGATTTTTTACATGGAAATATTTTTGTCCGAATGTTTCGCAGCAGGCCACGCTACATGTAAGTTCAAACGTATTTTTCAAAACCTTTACATATTCGACGATAATGTAGTTTCCTTCGTTCAGATGTTCTTTTCATTAACTTTTGTGCATATCCCTCAATTTACACAAATATGTAGTTCATTGCATCCGCATTTCTTCGTTCACCATAAAATATACGGTAAAACATTCTATACACATTGTGAAAATATAATATTTATTCCACACAATGGCATGAAAATAGTTATATCGAATGTTCATTCGTATCTATCGTATTTTCTCTCGGTGGAAGAAATGAGCGCACTTTTTGTCTCCCGTTCGTCCCCTGTGGACATCACCGATGTGAACTAAATATAAAAATCTAATGATACGTTCTGTAGAAAAGGATATAGTAGAATATATATATATATATATAGTATACATAATATACGTATAATAGAGTAGAATATAATTTTTCAAAATCTGTTTTCGGACAGCGACGAACCCGTGCCGAGCAGTCCCAGAATTCTTCCCCGGCCGATCTTGGATTCGGAAGCTTTTGCGCCAGATTACGTAATCGAAAAAAGACAATTCGGCCGTAGCCAGTTTTCATCGCCCAACGATGAAAATGGCGATGAGGGAGTGCTAGTACCAACCGCGGGGAAAAGAAATGTCGCATCCCTGGCCAGGACTTACACGTTACCTCAAAACGGCAAGAGGAACGTTGGAGTCTCATCCAAAGATTTTCAAAACCTGTTTTCGGACAGCGACGTGCCCGTGCCGAGCAGTCCCAGAATTCTTCCCCGGCCGATCTTGGAATCGGAAGCTTTTGCGCCAGATTACGTAATCGAAAAGAGACATTCGGGCCGTAGCCATCTTCCATCGCTCGACGGTGAAAATCCAGGCATATTACCTCAAAACGGCAAGAGGAACGTTGGAGCGTTAGCCAGAGATTACGGACTTCCACACGCCAAACAAAATCTAGGTTCTACTCATAAATACATTTATATTTCATAAGAATATGCCAAACGTTCTCATACACAAACATACGCATATAAATATCGCTAATTTTTTTATCGATTCTCCTCAATGATTTTGATGGCCTTGAAATATTTTTGTCAAGGACATTATTAAATGTAAAAATTCTTCCTATATTTCTGAAAATTCTTCTTCATAAATTCACTTACGCAAATACCGTTATATATATAATGTTGCGAATTACTGCACTTCTCCCGCGTCGCGGCATTTTATTTACAATAGAGTACATAAACTAGAATATAACTAAATTCAATTATGTTAGAGATCTTTGAATTAGATGGTGTTGATCGCTCGACTACGGGTGGTTTCTAAGCAAGAACACATATGCTGTTCCATATTGTGTACTTTGTCGTTGTCCCGAATTACGAAACGGTTGGCATCCGTGTTTCATATTCAGTGTCTCTGTTTTAGAACGGGTATTTCAAATCCGCGTTCCAAAATAGGGGCACTGAATATGAAACATAGGGACATGGTACGAGAACGGTGTTCCATAATAGCTACACGCTCGCACTTACTGCTTTATTCATGTTGAAAAAATATTTCGAAGATCATTACGTTGTCTAGAAGCATCAGTCTGTCGAACAGTAGTATAAATATTCAGCAATAACACTTTTAAATTGTGATAAAATCGATGATAATGTTATACCAACTGAAAAGCGTTTCATATTAGATGCTTTTATGTTCTAAGGAATTGGCGAGGAAGCGCTAAAGTAAACAATTACCGTTTCGAATCGCCTCTCACTTCTCGTGCTTTGTTCGATCATTCGATATGTCGCCTCTCTCGCATCATTCGATCATCCAATTATACCAACTTATAATAAAATCAACAGGTTCCTTATCCCGGACTGGTGGCGATTACCCGACGCGCCAGTACAGCAAAAGAAGCGTCTCCTCTTTAGCAAAGAACAGAGCCTGGCCGATTACCTTGAAGAGAGGCATCTCCGTTCCGACCAGCGTGATTTTGAGAACCATTTCTCGCCAGGGTAGATCATTGGCGAACCTAGCGAATATTCAGGACCTCGCGAGCGCGGCACTTGCTCAGAAAGATAATTACGAAAGCGATGTTTACGGGGACGACAAGCTGAATGATTCGCAGACGACCGACGGGTTGTACGAAAGAATCGATTCCGCGAACAGGAGGCCTAACAAACAGCTCAGTTTCTCCGACGAGTACCCGTTGCCGGTAATGCAAAATACCAACGGATTCGATTACGAGGAAATGATGGAGGCACTGGGCGATCAGTATCTGAATGCTGAAAAAAGGTTCATGGGTAAGTACAACGTTTCTCAATCATAACGACGTTATTGTTCTTTAAGAGGTCTTGTAATTCGATTCGATCGGAAACCTTTTAACCCACCCCAACCCCACCCCCGCGCAAATTACACGGTTGAAGAGAGCTCCGGCCATTGCAGAAGAAAACTCCCAGTCCCAAGGTTTTTTCTATATTTTTGTTTAATAGATGCAGCCTCTTTTCACCAATAATACGATATTTATTTTATCGAAACTATGGCAGTTATGGAACATGCTTAAGTTGTTAAGGAATTCCAGGACAATTGATATCAGACTTTATTCATTCTGTTTGAGTAATACAGGGATTAAATTCGTTGCTAGTTATTTAAAAGTCTAGACTCAACTCCGATTATAATCATTTTTGGAAATGTGGTGGGAGATGTAATTCCAAACAACTTTTTCTTTTGGATGTACAGCAAGACACGAAGAGGTATTCGAACGCTTTTTAAAACACAATAACTATTTGAGAAGTTCTTCTTTATCTAACCTCAATCTAATCCTAATTTAACCGCAACGTGAAAATAATTAAAATACGGATCCAATCATGGCCTATTTCTCTTCATTCTTTTTAAGTGCTGAAAGACCACGAATAGTTGGTTAAGGTTCGGTTTAGAGTTGCGGTTAGGTTAGCATTAGGACCAATGTATTCAGGAAAAGTCACTATGCAAAGAGTGGGGACAAGCGACGCATGCGCGGGAATCCCACACAGCGTGAGTCGTGCGCGTTCAGAGTTATAATTCACCCGATAGACGACCCACGCTGCTGTGCGATACGCATGCGTCGCAACCCCACTTCTTGTGTAGTGACTTTTCCTGAATATACTGGTTAGAACAGACCTGTAGACTGTCTTTTATCAACCGATGATAAAATTACACATCCTACTACCTATTTAAAAATGATCAAAATCGGTTGGAGTCCAAATTTCTGAATAATTGCAATTTCGTTCTGTCCTTGATATCAAAAACTGTATTTAATTAGAGAATTTATTGTTCGATTTTATACTTTCCATTATGAGAGTTCATAATCGTAAGTACAACGAACTTCTGAAGACAAATACGGAAATTAGAATAACGTTATTTGTATAAACTTATTTGTAGATTGAACTTTAAACTGTAAAAATTGTTATTACATTATGTACTACTTTCTATTCCATTATTATTTGCATTTCCATTTCTGTGCATTTGTCAAATTAATTTTGAATTTCTCGAAAACATTTTATACGCGTTTATGACAGCTCATTCGCAGAATTTTCTCTGAATTACGAGAAATTTATTTATGAAAATAAGGGTTGTTTACGTGATAATTTTTAATATTTGTTTGCTGTCCCTTCACACATTGAAACTTTTACGTTTTTTCAGATGAAGAATATAACGGAATGTGTGTTTGAACTCTCGTAATTAAGGAGGTTTTAATGAACGCGTTTATTTAAAAATATGTTTGATAAATTGACTGTTTTAATATCTCAAGGTCGCCTCGATCAATTGGCATCCAACTTGCTGTATATATTCAGCAGACCTGTCGCTTCAATCGACACTGCAAGGAAATCAGTATTTTCTAATACAAGAAAGTTTAATTTAAGGTGAAATATTAGTACAGTAGAATTTGTTATTCTCTAAAACAATCCATTTGCTAAAGGATTAACTGTAAAAATCGATAAAACTGAAATCTGACACTGTAACTAAATAACTGTTCTATTATCCGAACATGGATGTCACGCCGTTCAGCCCGGATGATCGAGGTATTCAATTTTTGAAATGTTGTCCAAGCTGAATTTTGTTTTTTCCCTCGTCTACAAATGCTCAGATATGATTGGAACATCAATTAAAGTCTACACGAAAATATAACAATAAATCTTTCGATGTATCACTATTTGAATAGGACAACGATAGAATTTGATGTCGTGGTAAAGCAATTTCAAAATTGATCTAATATATTGCGGTTTCGACTAGAACACCTCCATAGGCAGTCGAATATCTGCAGACCGGGCAAATTTGAAACGTCAGCGACACGTAGTCTGCTACGAAATCTGGCCGAAAGTGCGAAATTAATGAACGCGATAAATTCAGAAGTGGGCGGTAAATTCAGCGGTGTCTGTGAATGTCAGAAACAGGTTCTCTGCCAGAGATGCAGCCGAAGGTAGAACAGTCCCAGTACCCAGAAACATTTCGAGCAAGTAAAAGACACATCGCAGCGGCGGCACGACTTGGTTGGCTTTCATCTTTAAGGGCCTCACGATTTTCGCGATCACCCCGGTATCTAGTTAGCAGGTCAGACCACTAGGTTCCTACCTGCTCCCTCTCAATCTTTTTGTCTCTCTATATGTCTTACTTCCCCTCTCTTCGCATCTCTTCTGTCATCGTTCTTTCATCATGTCGTGCGACATCGTAATGCTGTCACTGCACCAATGCTGTAGAAACTATGAGAATGTACTCGATAATTACCAGGAAAAATGAGTCGGAACAATGGCATCGAAATGGCGCGAGGAGCATGCACGCGCTTGCGAGAGGGGAGCCCTATTAGAGGGAGATCCTCTGGATATTAGGGGCGAACGAAGGTACAGTTTCAGTAGCATCCAAGGTGGTCGCGGCGCTAGCTACAGTCGCCGTTACCATTTCATGTGCCATGCGTTCATCGGATGTACTTTCCATTCAACTTTTAACTGTTTCACGTAGATCAGGCTTGAGCAACTGGCGTGGCTCGCGGTTCATAGTCGGCTCGTTCCTTACATCCGTATTCTGTTAGGGAGAGTTGAAAATTGAGTTGAGATTTCAATGAAATTTTCAGCATGCATACAGGGTGTCTGAAAAGTTACTCAAATTCGGGAAATGAGGGGATCCTGAGATCATTTGAAGTAACTTTTTCCTTAGTGAAAATACAATCCGTGGCGTCGTTTACGAGATATTAACAAAACAACACTGACCAATGAGAGGCGAGATCACTTAGCGCAAAACGATCGAGCCAATAAGCGGAACTGGACTTCGTCTGCTCGTTGCTGGCGCTGCCTTGTATCAGCCGAACTCGTCTCTCATTGGTCAGTGTTTTTCGTTAATAACTCGTAAACAAAGCTGCGAATTGCATTTACGCTAAGGAAAAAGTTACTTCAAATGACCTCAGGAACCCTGCATTTCCCGATTTTGAGTCACTCTGAGGACTCAATCTTGGTAATCTAGATTATCAAGATCTACGAAATGCATTGTTTAAATTGTCAGACGAAAAAGTTAGAAAACTAATTTCTTTATTATTTTCGTAATTGTAACCGTTTGCAATTATTGCAAACATTGGATTTTAGGCATTGTCTAGTTAACTCCCGGTTCTTCTAACATTTCAAAAAATTTAAAGTCGTTTGATCCAATTTTGAAAAAGTTGCTCCATGTAAAAAGATGTACAATTACTTTTTACTTTTAATCGAGTTTACATGGTCAGTTCGTCTTTTACATTGTGGCACTGTGTTGCAACGTGAGTAACTTCTCTAAAATTAGACCAAATTGATCTATTTTGAGANCGTCAGCGACACGTAGTCTGCTACGAAATCTGGCCGAAAGTGCGAAATTAATGAACGCGATAAATTCAGAAGTGGGCGGTAAATTCAGCGGTGTCTGTGAATGTCAGAAACAGGTTCTCTGCCAGAGATGCAGCCGAAGGTAGAACAGTCCCAGTACCCAGAAACATTTCGAGCAAGTAAAAGACACATCGCAGCGGCGGCACGACTTGGTTGGCTTTCATCTTTAAGGGCCTCACGATTTTCGCGATCACCCCGGTATCTAGTTAGCAGGTCAGACCACTAGGTTCCTACCTGCTCCCTCTCAATCTTTTTGTCTCTCTATATGTCTTACTTCCCCTCTCTTCGCATCTCTTCTGTCATCGTTCTTTCATCATGTCGTGCGACATCGTAATGCTGTCACTGCACCAATGCTGTAGAAACTATGAGAATGTACTCGATAATTACCAGGAAAAATGAGTCGGAACAATGGCATCGAAATGGCGCGAGGAGCATGCACGCGCTTGCGAGAGGGGAGCCCTATTAGAGGGAGATCCTCTGGATATTAGGGGCGAACGAAGGTACAGTTTCAGTAGCATCCAAGGTGGTCGCGGCGCTAGCTACAGTCGCCGTTACCATTTCATGTGCCATGCGTTCATCGGATGTACTTTCCATTCAACTTTTAACTGTTTCACGTAGATCAGGCTTGAGCAACTGGCGTGGCTCGCGGTTCATAGTCGGCTCGTTCCTTACATCCGTATTCTGTTAGGGAGAGTTGAAAATTGAGTTGAGATTTCAATGAAATTTTCAGCATGCATACAGGGTGTCTGAAAAGTTACTCAAATTCGGGAAATGAGGGGATCCTGAGATCATTTGAAGTAACTTTTTCCTTAGTGAAAATACAATCCGTGGCGTCGTTTACGAGATATTAACAAAACAACACTGACCAATGAGAGGCGAGATCACTTAGCGCAAAACGATCGAGCCAATAAGCGGAACTGGACTTCGTCTGCTCGTTGCTGGCGCTGCCTTGTATCAGCCGAACTCGTCTCTCATTGGTCAGTGTTTTTCGTTAATAACTCGTAAACAAAGCTGCGAATTGCATTTACGCTAAGGAAAAAGTTACTTCAAATGACCTCAGGAACCCTGCATTTCCCGATTTTGAGTCACTCTGAGGACTCAATCTTGGTAATCTAGATTATCAAGATCTACGAAATGCATTGTTTAAATTGTCAGACGAAAAAGTTAGAAAACTAATTTCTTTATTATTTTCGTAATTGTAACCGTTTGCAATTATTGCAAACATTGGATTTTAGGCATTGTCTAGTTAACTCCCGGTTCTTCTAACATTTCAAAAAATTTAAAGTCGTTTGATCCAATTTTGAAAAAGTTGCTCCATGTAAAAAGATGTACAATTACTTTTTACTTTTAATCGAGTTTACATGGTCAGTTCGTCTTTTACATTGTGGCACTGTGTTGCAACGTGAGTAACTTCTCTAAAATTAGACCAAATTGATCTATTTTGAGATGTGTTAAAAGGTCCAGTTTACTAGACAACGTGTAAGACAATTTTTGCAAAAGTTGCAAATGGTTGGATTGACAAAAAGAAGTAGGAATACCTTTCTATTAACTTTTTCACCTGAGCCTAGAACGAAAATTTAAACACTGCATTTAGTAGGTCTGGGTGACTTATATGCATACTGAAAATTTCATTTAAATCGATTGATCAATTATTACAATCAGATTGTATAACTGATGAATTACGATCAATTAAAGGTAGTGAATTAGCAACATTTCTTATTGGTAGTCGAAAGGTGTTTAGTAATTTTCAATTGTGAATTTTCAATCAAATTTCATTAGCAAAGTTTACTATACTATAATATGAGAAGATGAGGATAATGGAAATTTAACTTAGTGATTCAGCACCAGTTGCCCAAGTCTGACGTAGTTTATCATGCTGGTAAAGTGTCACGTTGGTGTCTCGATGTTAGTATGTTGTTTCATCTGGTGAAACATTTCTACGAGATAGTTTTAGATTCTAGTTTCATAGATTTTTGTCGTTAAATGATTGTAATTATGTATTCGTTTGTTATACAAGTTGACCATGCAAGAAGTCAATAAGAAACAGTCCTGCTTCTTTCATGACACAGTCGAACCTGCGTATCTACGGGGTGTCCTCAGGTTAAATAGCCGAACTTTAGATATGAATTTAAGACTCTAAAATAAACAAATGTCTTCTGTATAAGTACGTTCGTAAATGCTTTCTTTGGGAGATATTTACTACTATAGTTGTAGGACTTAGTAACGTATGCCATCGAAATAATTCAGGTTTATCACGTAAATTACTAAAGAAAATTGTCGTATTTATTGTAAAAATAATTATGAAAATAATTGCAATTATTACATATGATGCTCAAAATAATTACCTTCAGCCTTCTGTTAATAACATTGAAACATTAAAATTGAGAATAGTGCAAGCATGTAACGAAATAACAGGTGTACAGTGTCAATCGGCCCATGCTTGCACTATTCTCAATGTTAATGTTTCAATGTTATTAATAGTTATTCAGAACGAATGAAAGTAGCTTCGTTCGCAGTGCAAATAGAAACACAGTAGTAAGCAACACAAAAGCATTTACGAGTGTGCTTCCAGAGGAAAAATTTGTTTGCTTTAGGGTCCTAAAATGTTTAAAGTTTCACGATTTATCCTGGAAACACCCTGTAGAATGTCTGTAATTCGAAAATCTCATAAAGCTACAATTTTAAACATTCCTATTCTTTCGACCTTAAACGCGTCTGTAAATCGATGTACATACAGGGTGAGTCAGTAAAAACTACTACTTAAAATAATTTGTTATCCATTAGCTTTGTAAAGAAATGCTTTATGTAAAATTGAATGTGTAACCTATGACACGACGATCAGTTTAGCGTTTATATTATCTTGGATAGAAATATTGAAAAATTCTCTTCATTTTATTGGGCTCCTTAAATTTTACTTGAAACATATGTTGATAAAGTCAATAAATAACGAGTTATTTCGCTCGTCTCGCCCTGTATATACTTTAATTCGAATTCTTTTCCGCATATTCTAGTGCGTTATTCAATCTGTGTACATTTTCGCTAAGGAAAAAGTTACTTCAATTAACCATAGGAAACATCCCTTTCCGAATGTAACGCGAATTCTAGGACATCCTATATATACATAGCTATCTTTAGCGTCAAGTAGTTATATGTTAGATAAGTGTGGTGTTTTTATAGTCGTTTTAGGATGAAACACAGCGAGTCGCAGGATCCAGATCGTCGAAAAATCGAAAAATGTTCTATGTATTTCGTTTCGCTTCTCTATAGCCACGTTACTGTGCAGTAATGAAACCTTCGTTCCGTTTCAATGGTCATATATAATTCGAGAAGTCAGTATTTTTTCTCCTAAATCTATGTGTTTGTCTTGACTAGTGGATAATATTTTAAATACCCGACAACGTCATTTAACATAATGTCTCTGTGTCTAGAATAGACGATATTATTGTTACCATAGTTTTCCATCGAGACGAGTCGGTGAACGGAAACTGAACCCCTGCGCGACGTTCACGTGCTAGCGACGAAAACTATTGGATGTTGAGTGCCGAGCTCAGAGTTAACTTTTGATGGTACTTTATCGAGGATCTTTGCTTGCAAAGTCTGACGGGAAAATAACCTTAGATTCTAGGGTCTAGAATTCTAGAACTACGAGGGGGTGAGGGCTCGTCAAACCCACAAGTTCAACAATGATAAGCTAAACAGATTCTTTCGTGCATAAAATTAAAACAAAATTATTTATTACTGTTAAAAATTAAAATATGGCATTTAAAAATTCCTTTTATTTCATGTTTGAAACTCTCCAAGCATAAGAAGTTGGTTTAATTTAGAATTCGTTAAGCATATTGCCTCGATGAAACTCTATAAATCGAGCCTACAATTTCGATATATCATAAATTAATTTATTCTATAACCAATTTATTCTATGAACCATAGGTTCATACATAAAATAAACAGCATTTCTATATACTAAATTTATCACCACAGTTAGAACAATTAGAATTTCTTCGATTGTAAGCATTTCTTAAAGAAAAAGAATATTTACATTCATCGTGTGCCTAAAACTTGAGTATTTAAGTATTGATAACAAGAGTACAAAATTTAATTCCGAAGAACAGTATAAAATTCACACTTCACCATTTAGCTGTGTGTGTCTTTGACTGGTTAAGAAAAATATATACTTTGATATTCTTTATTAACCCATATATTTTATAAAAGCGTCGTATTCAAAAACAAAATACGACGAAAGTCATACATATACAGCATAATTACAGTAACTTGCACACTCTTCGAAAAGAATGGTGATAGCTGACTGGTTAACAGATTATTACTAGAAATCCTTGTCACAAGGCAGACTCGTCAAAGTATGGCAAGGCGTTACCAATAATTAATGTTTCATTTGCACCTGTTTTAAATGGTCCACTCTGTTAAAGAGTCGACACATTGCGAGCTGATCCTGCCTCAAGCACGTGAATTTGTTTACATTGACCGACTCGGCTCGCTGGACCACGTTGGAAGGACTGTAAAACGGATATTGCGCGATGGGAATTAACGGGATGATTTATTTTAGGGAGAATACCGCAGATGGGTCGTCGTCCAACGCCTCCTCCGCCTCGTCAACAAGGTCTTTAAGGCCACACTTCGAACCGGGTGCGCCGCACGTTCAAGCCTTGCACGGAGATTGTCGACACGGCTTCAAGAGGTTTAGGTTGTAATCGACAGCCGATAATTTTCCTCGTCAGAAATTCCCCAGATCCATGGAAATCGATTACTCAATTTCTTGCGTACGAAATTAATGCTATTAATCAGTTCGTTTCGACGGTTTCATTAACGGATACGGAACAAAAAAAAAAGGAGAAAAAAGAAATCCGGACAGTTTAAACACGATCTTCTGAAGTATTCCAATCTTTTAGCCAGCGTGGAGACTTAGAATACTGTTTCTTAAGTCTATTAATCAGCGACTGTCCGCGTCAACGTCTTATCGCAGAGAAGGTATAGGATACATTTTATAAAACTTTTATGGCAGTTTTTATCGCATTTCCTATAATATTGGTCTTGCTAGTTTAAGGCAGGTTCTCCCTTTACGGATCCGCGGTATTGAAATTTCTCTAATTTCTCTAATTTCTCTTATGTCGAAACATTTACAGTACACTATACTCTTTGATGTACTTTTAATTGACCCTTTGTGTACCGGCTAAAATTAGAAAGTGTAGCAGAAGATATTATATCTACTTTTCATATTATTTTTACGGCTTTTTATGAACGTCGTTCAGAGATTGTATTGTTTATAACTGACATTATATTCACATTATAAATTATTTCAAAATCATGGTAGATAAAGGTTTTCATAAATGCTACAAATTAAACGACGGTTAAAGTTGCACACCGCATCATTATTGAAACATTTGTTTATTTAATATCGTAAACAAAAAATGGATCGAACGTTAAATCTATCCTATACCCTGTCTCTTGTTCCGCATTTTTATTTGTCATCGTTGTTCCCACCATCATTCGTTTGAATCAATTCTCGTCCCAAATTGTTTGTACTAAAAAAGATAACTTCGACGTGTGCAGTCAACATAGTACTTCAGAAGTATCGGAAGAATGATGGAGGTTTCAATTAAAACGCATGTACTGCTCAAAAAACGTTGCGAAACATATAGAAATAATTTGAACGTTCAAACGTTAAGAAATGTTTGAAGCTTTTGCATCTCCCTTTAGTATGACGTTTTTTTCGCTGACTAAGTATGTGTCAACAATTGTTCCTTTTTCTGGTTTATCCAAGGAAGAAATCCAATGCACCTATCGAATCACGGATCGACGACATTTTGATAAAACCTTTACACAATTTACTTAATCACACGAGTTTCATTTACCACTGCTTTGTAGAAAATAGAAAGCTCTCGATGAATTTGATATATTTCTTTTAGCAGCCTGCATTTCAATTATCACAATATTTCTTGATTTCAATGCGTTTCGAGCAACACGTTTAATCGTACATTTCTATAAAGTACTGAGCGACGTACAAATTTTTATGGATATTATTAACACATGAACTCTTGACAATGGTATGTTATAGCAACAACGATCAGTCGTTTCAATTATCAAATTTGTCCATTGCATTGATCAGAAGTTATCGATAACAAATTAGTCACTTTCTACGTGTAGTTTCTAACGAAGTTCCTTATATATTTCTTTAGTTCCATAGGTGTTAAACGAACGTTAGAGTACGATGACAATGTGCGTTGCTCTAGTGATGCTTCAAGTAATCGAAACTTACATATAGTTATAGTTTATTTTCCTTCGAGATTAAATAGCATCGCTAAGTTAGTTTAGACGTGTAAGATATCTGTAACATTGATATTAACGTAACCAAGTTCCGTTGGAAACGTCTTTGTAAACGTATATTTATTTATTTGACAATAATATAGTTACGTATTCGACAATAACTCATGACAATATAATGTCCATGTTATTGACAATAACATTATTAAATCTGTCACGGTATTTCAATAAATACGACCCTAAGCTATTTCGTAATGTTATGCGAACATTTGCGTTGCGCCACAAAATAAGTTTTAAGAAGAACGTAACGTTTGATTTGTGTTCGATCGAATTTTTCTGCTTTCTGCAAATACACGAATTACGATACGGATACACACGTGTATTTGAAGACGATAACCGATGTAAACGATGAAATAGGATTGTTTGGAAGTTTCTGATGTTCCCGTACCTCCAGTTAAAAAAAAAAACAATCTCCGCCTATATATAACGAAAATACAACTAAAAGTCTATCTCTAACGAAAGACAAACACTTTCCTCGAATTATTGTAACTCTTTTTGGATAAATATTCTAAGGAATTTTCATTCGAATTACTATTACGACAATATTACGATGTGCTTCTATGCAGTAGATATTTACAATATAGTTGGATGGTGAAAATTACGGAAGCCGTGACGTAATCTTCGATATATTCTAGTAGTCGGTGTAAATCTTAGTGCTCAGGGCTTGCAAGCTCAATAGTAATAACGCAAATTCAGCTTTTATTTGTTCGTAATATATATTTCAGTACTCAATAAGTAGACGAGATAAAGTATTGTGTAATATGTGTATATTAACGTGATTTTCAATCAGGAAGATTTCGACATGGTTGTTTCCAAATGAATAATATCATCGATTTATTACGATGCGAACTATGCACATTGTTGTTTGATCATCCTCGATTTTATGATAATGTATTTATGTGTTTATCTAGATTATAACGACTAAATGAAGTGACAATAAAGCGAATAATAATAATGAAACAAGAGTCTCTGTAACTGTGTTCCTATCCTATCCACTGTTTTTGAAATGTTCTTGTAACGAAAAAAAGTTGTGAAATAAATTATGTTTGTCTACGGAACAGTAGTGGTCTGCAGATCACTGTGTACAGTGGTAATCCACACACTCGATTACTTTATAGAACATTTTGCAGAAAGAAATTCAATATTTTGTGAAAAATGCCTTTCAAAAATTAAAATCTCTTAGTATTTCGCATTCGAATAGAAACTCCGTTAAAAAATCATCAAATGTGAAATTCTAACATGATTGAAATTAGAGACATATCTAAGACATATAAAATCTTGATCTTTATGTAAAATAAAAATTGGCTGTCTCAGCTACGAGACGTAGGAGCCAAGTGCAATCTTGTCTCCGTCTCGAATAATTCTATTAAATTGTAATTGACATATCAATATTTTCAGTTTCTTTTAATTTTTTCACTATTCTATGTTTTGCCTATACATTTCTCCTATAAATGCATAAAATCCGTAGTCTAGTGGTATAGTATATCAGGTGCTTGCAAAAGTTTTAGTCTTTTTCGTAATAATTAGAACTTTTTATCTTTTTGTGCAATTGTTTATGAAGTAAACGAAAGAACTGATTTCTTTTTAGAACATTTGAAATAAATTTGTCTTAGCATGTAATCGTTCCTCGATTAATGTACATATAATCACAGTCGAGATATAGAAGTCGAATTTGTTCTATTTTGTTACAATCAGTCTGTAATCTTGCAGTTTACCAATTATAAATTATCTTGCAAATTTGTAATAACTTCAAGTAGATGTACAGATGGTGAATGGACAAAAGAAGTTTTAATTAAAAAATTGAGAATCGAGGAAAAACCTCTGGTTTTGTCGAGCAATGTCGGTATTTCAGAATGCGGAGCACGAAATATAATATGGTGCATAGTGTACTCTGATACCTCGTTTGTACTGAAATTATATATTTTTATTCGATACCATTATTTTATATCATACCTATAATTATTTACAACGTAATATTAATAATAAATATGGAAACTTCGTTTGTAAATTATTGATAGACAATTATCATTGACTCTACAGTTTCCTAATAGCATTAGCTCAAATCTCTTTTAGAGATATCCTACATATTCATAATAATTTTACAAAATTTTAACTTGATACTATATTATATTTAATTTCTAAATAAATTTAATTCATGATAAATTTATATTTTCACATATGTATTGGTTTAAACAGCAACAATTGTAATTGTCAACAGATCTTATAAAATATCAATTATCAATTATGTTGTAAGTAAAATTTGTGTGTGTGTGTGTGTATCGTTTGAATATACATACGTATACGTACCGCATGAATTTGTGACCTCTGCATCATAAAACGTGCCGTAATACGAATGAGGTATATAGAATACTCGATTCTTACTAAGAAGCTAATCTAACTATATCTATACAGAAAAATGCATTAGGTTACTAAGTCTACATATTTCAAAATACATTGCATTCTATTTATTGTTTCTAATCAACAATTTTTTTCGTAAAATAGAATGGACTTCCAAAGTGGAAACACAATTATTTCAGAAAGAAATTTTATTATATATAACATTTATTTGTTAATTTAAAGATGAGATTACAGATTTGAATACTTATAACATTGTTAATTAATCTATTTAAATATATGCCTAGCGTTGGTCGTTTCCTTGTACCCCTTATAGAAAAAATATTCGGAATATGAACTTCGTGAAACTGCAACTCTAACATATCGGCTGAGATAATGCACGATCTGGCATACCGACATCGCTGAAAACTATCAATTTACTAGTGACCTCAACCATTAAAAACGAAGAATTTCGGAACTATATTGAACAGAAAAAACAAAGTCGGTTAAGTAGTAAATGCAAAAAATAAATCGTTGGAGATTATGTCAGCAATATTATTTTTATGTCCTGAGATTTTGAAACGCTAAAATTGACGCTACTGAATTTCTCTTAATTTTATGCTGTTTCATATTAAATTTGTATCCAGAGATTATAACTATAAAAAATACGTTTATAAGCTATAGAGATTCAAGTTGATCGATTCGTCCATCCTGAAGAATAGAGATATCGTTCTTTTTGTATTCTATATATTTTGATAGTTGGTAATTGTAGCATTCCATTATTTTGAATTGACGCTTAAATTTTGACGAAATCTTCGACTTTGCGAATTGATATATTTATTTACCACCAAATGACGATCGAGTCTAAGGCGAATCTACTGACTTGAAGAAACAATAGCAATAGGTAAATCGGCTGAGATAATTTAATAAAAAACCATAACTTATTGCAGCAAAGATTCATTAACAATTTCTTAAATACAAATATGTAGACTGAAAGTCAACTAATTTACGTCGAAAAGACTTTGTTATAATAAATTATCAAAAATACATATAATATAAAACATTTTGTAAACAATTTTGCCGCGATCATTGTTATATTTGCGTTCACTATGGTTATTAAAATTATTGAAACTTGATTATTGAAAGTATCCATAATTCACAAGTACATATTAAACTTCAAGACTATTCATTTTGTCTACACCGTAAAAGTGTTGAAAATCTACGTATTTACAAAATTTGTAGGGAATCGAATACATACTATAGTGTTTTATGTGTGAAAGTTAAGAATTGTATGAATCGCAGAGAAAACATTAAAGCGTGATTTTGACAACTTTTCGGATGTTGTAAAGAACTTAACGTAAATACGTTTTTGAAAATATTATCTTTTGTTTCTGCATCAATCTATTTTGCCGAAATTTTCGAATCGTACAATGACTAATATAAATATATAAAATGTATTTTTAAAGTTCTCATTGAAGGCACGGACATAAAAGTTATAAGAAGCAGTCTTTTTAGTATTGTCTTCGTAATTCCGACCAAATACAATTTTCATGAAAAATTTGTTGTACATCAGCTATTACATTAATTCTTTAAACTTAAATGTTGAAACCTCTTTAATGTCAAAACAATTATTTCGTTTCAAGTGCTGTAAGGATATATGTAAGTATGTAGAAATTTCATACATTTGTTTTATGGTGGTAAACACATTACTTTCTACACTGAAGTGTAATCTGCATCATTTTGCTGCTTAAAGTTTTTTGTATGTTGCGAGCACATTAAATTAGTAAATAATAGTTTCAAGCCATGTAAACTATTAAATTTTCGAAGCTATATTTAATTTTCTCTACGCCTTGCACAAGAACTTCTACCACTAGGGAATTGAATGACGTGAATTTTCTTTTGCCAATCAAATGAGAACAAGTTTAAGAATTGATTTACATTTCTGGAATGACATAAAGCGAGTAACATTAATATTTGGACACTCTTTAAAACGCAATCACATTTTAAAAATTGGATGAAATCGATTGAATCTTTTTAAGATATTAAAAGCGTTTGGGAAAATTGCAATATGTTGGAGTGACAGAAAGAATAAAAAAATTATGTTTCTTCATACTCTTTTTATCTGTGTGACCGTAACTAAAAATTTAAATAATGCGGTACTCGGTAATTTATACGCACGCTGAAAATTTCAATTTGCAAACATTCTTTTACTCATTATTTAGCAAGCTAGTCTGTTTAACATCTTAAAACGACTCAAGTCAAATTGATCTCAAAAAAAGGACGGTATTACGTTTCAAGTTTCTTAAGTTTCAATTTAAGTTATTCAAGGTTTTCATTTCATTTAAGTTATTTTAATTTAACATCTTAAAACGACTCAAGTCAAATTGATCTCAAAAAAAGGACGGTATTACGTTTCAAGTTTCTTAAGTTTCAATTTAAGTTATTCAAGGTTTTCATTTCATTTAAGTTATTTTAATTTAACATCTTAAAACGACTCAAGTCAAATTGATCTAAAAAAAAACGGTATTACGTTTCAAGTTTCTTAAGTTTCAATTTAAGTTATTTTTTTTTCATTTCATTTAAGTTATTCAGGTTTTAAAGTTTCATACTACATAAATATTTACAATACAATACAATAATATTTACGCATTAAGTGGTTAATAGCAATCGTTCGATTACTTTCATGAATTAGAATCCTTAAATATCCTTCGACAAAGTCCTCAAATTAATATCCTTAAATAAATATCCTTAAATATTAAGGATTTAGTACACCAATTAAAATGCAACTCATCCGCATGACAAAGCGTCTCACATAGCCAATATCCAACGGAGGGTAAACAGGAAAGGTCATCTTCCAGTTTCCCTCCTTTTTGTCGGTGACATTTACACGTTGAAGTCGGCGTTGAATGCCACTTAAATCGCAGCCGCAACAATAGAGGCGGCGTGGGAGCAAAGCTTTGCTGTGACCGCATCACCATTTTTCTGTGGGCTTTGACGGACCTACAAAAGTGCCGCCATATTGATTTACTAGCGGCAATTGTCAATGAGCTGAATTGTGGAAGAACGACGCATCCTGCTTTCTGCTGAAAGATTTCGATAGGTCGGCCAGGAAGAGGTTCCTTTGCGGCAGCTACTTCACTCTTCCCGCCTGCGTGTGGTCCGCTGCGTGCGATCATTCTTCGGAACAGGTTGTCAATGAACGAGATCGCCCCGATTTGTCAAATAACGTGCGAACTGGAAAACACGAAGAGATACGTTTGTTTAATAGCGCTACTCATTGAGCAAACAGAAACCGTTTCATTTATCTTTCTCGACGAGATTAATCAACACTTCCTCGTCCTTAATAATTTCCCACATAAGACGAAATAATACTTTTTTATTGTACAGCGACTCACAGTCGAACTCGACCGTACGGTATTGTTAGATTAAAAGTGACGAATGAAGCACAAAATAAAATAAATTTGAAAGCAGAATTTGAATTTGAGTTTCACGGAATTTAAAAATACAAACGTTGTTGCGAATCTGTCGCATTTCGCCGGTGGAAATTATGGTAAAGAATATGTATACATTATACGTATATGTATAAGAACGTATAAAAACGTATAGGAAATTCGTGATGAATCGAC